TGGGCACATCATCTATGGACACATCTCCACCCATGGACACATCTCCACCCATGGACACATCTCCATCCATGGACACATCTCCATCCATGGATACATCTCCATCCATGGCCACATCTCTATCCATAGACACATCTCCATCCATGGATACATCTCCATCCATGGACACATCATCCATTGACACATCTCCATCCATGGACACATCTCCATCCATGGACACATCATCCATGGACACATCATCCATGGACACATCTCCATCCATGGACACATCTCCATCCATGGATACATCTCCATCCATGGGCACATCTCCACCCATGGACACATCTCCACCCATGGACACATCTCCATCAATGGACACATCTCCGTCCATGGATACATCTCCATCCATGGCCACATCTCTATCCAAAACACATCTCCATCCATGGACACATCATCCATGGACACATCTCTATCCATAGACACATCTCCATCCATGGACACATCATCCATGGACACATCTCCATCCACGGACACATCTCACCTGGGCTCAGTTTTACTGTTCCCTTTACAACCCCAGGTTCCACCAAGGACATTCCCTGAATCCCAACTCTCCACCCCCATTGCTCCGCAGTTCTCTCCTTCCATAATCACTCCTGTGTGCCTTAAATCCTCTGGGAATTCCAAGGAACATATCCACCCTGGAAGAGCTTCTCATGGTTTTTAGGGCCTGCTAAAAAGCCAGCTCATCAGGACACTCAGCACTGCTAGGAGGGGGTTTAACCACACAGAGGATCAGAAGCTGCTTTGCCTTTAGTCATCACAAAGCCTGGAAGAGGATAGTTGGAATGCCTGAAAAAACTCCCAAACCAGTGACTCTACATTAGAAGAAATATTCCACAAAGAGATGGTGTCAGATCAGCCACTTGGAGCCTCCAGACAAAGGTTTCACCAGGATATCAGAGCGAGAGGTGTCTCAGCAGTGACAGGAATTGCTGGTCATTAAGTACTGGAAGGACTGGAAATAAAGACAAACCTGACACTGAGGAACTGGAAGGTGAACAGTACAGACAGAGCAGCAGAGAAACGTGGTGTCCCTTTGGCATGGGAAGAGAGGACATTGTGGGCTCAGATAACTCAGTTCAACAGGCAACAGAAGTTAGGGGGGGAAAAAAGGAAGAAAAACTGACTTTAACTGTCAGAGTTGGTAAAGAGAAAAAAAGTGAATAATAATACAGCCTTTGGAAGAAGCTGCCACACTCTCATGGGGAAATCTAATTTGTCTTTCTGGCAATTATCCTTCTTTGCCATCTCACACACGTGTCTCGTTGGTGTAGGTGGCTTTTCCCACCTGGATCAAAGGACTTGTTGCTCTATTTCTTCTCAAGAAACCTGAAAATTCATAAAGCTTTGTCATGTCAAGGGGCAGCACTGAAGTTACAGTGGGCTGGGAGAGAGAGGTTAAACCATTCCCACAGCCTGTTACTCCAGGAGAAGGGAAACACTCTGAATCAGTGCTGTGGGAAAGAGCTGGAAAGAATTAAAATGCAAAAGACACACAACTTGATTAGCCCTGAACTGAAAGACTTCTGAGCAGAGCGTTTTCAAACTGATGCATGTCCTTGTAAGATAAGAGAAACATCTTCAAAAGAATATTTGTGGGCTTATAAGCTCTTTACTCTGTGCACAGAACTTCTGGTTCTGAAATGCAGCATGACAGCCTAATGGATGTTACAGTTTTGAGGAGTTTATTGGAGAAAGTGGTGGCAAAATCATTTGCATGGATTACATTGCTTGGCTTCACCTCTGTTTAATTCCTCTGAAAGGCACAATTGCCTTTCAACTGAAGGAGGGTAGATTTAGATGAGATACTGGGATGAATTTTCCCTTGTGAGGGTGGGGAGGCCCCAGCACAGGTTGCCCAGAGAAGCTGTGGCTGCCCCATCCCTGGAAGTGTCCAAGGTTGGATGGAGCTTCCAACCCAAACCACTCTGTGATTCTGTGATAATATAATTCAAATTACAGAGAAGGCTGTGAGAAACATTAAAGACACTTCAGAGTGGTCAATAAATGATAAACATGATGTTAAATTAAAATCCTTGTTGACCAACAGGAGATAGAGATGGAGTGATTTTAGTCACTCACATACTTGGTCTTAAACCAGTCACAGCCCTTGGGATAAAAACTTGAGCACTACCAAGGCCAAGGAAAATGCCTTTCCAGCTCCAGCAACTGCTCAGAATACGTCAAATATTACAGAGCAGAAACAATCTAAGTATTGAGATGCCATTTGATAAACAACTGGAATGCAGCTTTTCACTCTTCCTACCTTGCATCAAAAATAAACGAGAAAAAACAAGCAACCAAAATGCTCAGGAAGGTTATTATAAGTATTAGAGGCCTGGTGAACCTTCCATGGGAAGAGAGGGGATGGAGCAGATTGGTTCTGTGTGCTCTGGAGCAGAGAAAATAAGAGGACACAAGGTAGAGGGAAATTAAAGAAAGAAAAGTAATTAAAAGAAGCACAAAGTGCACTCCTGAGCTCTTCCTCTCACTGCAGAAAGGATTTAAACTGAGGGCAGGACACAGTTGGGTGGCTTGGTTTATTTTTTCAAATCAATCCACTGTTAACATGTGGAACTCTTTGCTACAAGAGTCAAGGAGGTCAAGGATGGGAAGGATTTAAAAACCATTAGATATTCACACGAATAATAAGAAAACCCTCCAGAGTTCCATCGGAGCAGAACACCAAGACTTTTGCTCTTTCCTTTATTGAATCTCCCTGCCTGGGGCTGGGCCAGGAGATTTCTGTCCTTCTTCCTCCACCACAGTCCTGGACAAGGAAGAGCAATGATCCGGTTTGAAAATTCCAGATCATTTCCCAGCTGAAATCCCGGCCTTCAGAACAGAGCTGGGAAATCCCTGTCGGCGGCACAGTCCCAGATTTCAGAGCCTGAATTCTAAACACTCCACTCCCTGTTCTGCTTTGCCTTCACACTGCATTTGGTATTCAAAGATTTTATTAACACTGCTAAGCTGATTTTAATTACTGTTATTATTCAGCTGTACTAGGAAGCTTTTTTATATTCCTATTGTATTTTCAACAATGCCTTTACACAGTATTTTTATTATTCCCTGATTCAGCTCTTTTGCACACACTTCCCTGTTCTACAAAACCTTCTGGATCTTGTGTTATTAAACTAAATCAAAAGATGTTCATTTTACAGCAGTTTTACTCCGTGTTGGTGTGGCATTTATTCAGCCCTGGCAACACAGGAATAGAAGAGCCAGCCATTCCCACGGGGCTGCAAAGCTGGAGCAGGGATTGATTGTACATTTTATAACTTTTCCAGCTCAACTTTAACTCAAGTTCAGCTGATGATATCTTCATGGTGATCCCTGCATGGCTCTTCTTGGCAAAACAGGCACCTAAATGAAAGCTTTGTCCCTGTAAGGGAATTGTCCTCTTTATTTTACAGATGGGAAACCGGGATTCAGAGACCAAAAATCACAGGAGCCTCTAAGTAAGATGGCATTAAACCAAGAACCACAGTGCACTCTGCTCCAGCCACTGCACAAACCACTCATTAATTTGAATTTGAGGTCGCTGAAAACAATGAGAAGACAAATTATAGATGGAAAGGAAAGTGAATGATTCTTTTTCTGATTCCTGCAGAATCCCAGAATGAAGGGTGGCTGCCTGGCTGAGGGCAGTTGCTGCTGAACAGTCCCAGGGAATAGAAGCCTGGCAATAAAGCTGGCACTCAATTGTCACTTTGTGCAGGAAATAATGGGTTTGAGCCACCACATAAACGGTGGCTACTTCGTCCTCTTTTATATTTGAAAGCTTCAGAGCTCATGCCCAGATCTGCAGAGAGACCTCGGCAAACCAGAGGGCTGGGAATCACCAACCATGGGAAGTTCAACACGGGAAGCGCCGGATTCTGCCCCTGGGATGGGGCAGCCCTGGATGTACAGACAGATTGGGAATGAGAGGCTGGAAAGCAGTGCTAGGAAAGGGCCCTGGGGGTCGTGGTCAGTGGCCAGTTGGCCCTGAGTCAGCAGTGCCCTGGCAGCCAGAAGGGCAAAGCCTGTCCTGGGGACATCAGGGAGGGGATTGTCCTGCTCTGCTCTGCCCTGGGGCGGCCTCACCTGCAATATTGGGGCAGTTTGGGGTGAATATACAAAATAAGGAAGATATTGAGCCATTAGAGAGTGTCCAAAAGAGGGAATGAGGATGGGGAAGGGCCTTGATTTGAAGCCGTGGGAGGACACTGAGGGCACTTGGGGTGTTCAGCTGGAGAAGAGGAGACTGAGGGGAGAGCTCATGGCAGTTCCAGCTTCCTGGGCAGGGGCAGAGGAGGGGCAGGGACTGAGCTCTGCTCTGGGGGGACCAGGGACAGCACCCAGGGAATGGTTGGAGCTGTGTCAGGGCAGGGTCAGGTTGGATCTCAGGGAAAGGTTCTTCCCCCAGAGGCTGGTTGGGCACTGCCCAGGCTCCCCAGGGCAGTGGGCACAGCCCCAAGGCTGCCAGAGCTCCAGGAGGGTTTGGATGATCCTCTGGGGCACAGGGTGTGACCCTTGGGGATGTTCCTGTGCAGGGCCAGGAGTCACACCGGATGATCCTTGTGGGTCCCTCCCAGCTCAGCAGATTCTGTGATTCCATGATCACTGCCCTCAGGAAGGTCCCAGGACCCACAGCAGGGCAGAGCCCCATTCCCTGGGCACAACGAGCCCTTCAGAGGAGGAAGAAGAAGCAAAGCAGTAGGACCCAGGTGAAGTGCTCTTCACCCAGATTGTGCACATAAACCAGAAACTGTAACTTCAAACAAGGGCCACCTACATCAGAACAGCCCCAGGATACTCTGGTTTGTCCCTGGCTCATGCAGCTGATGCTGCAGTGAGTTGCTGTGACCACACCACCGCTCGCTTGCACAAGCACATTTTAGCCCAGCAGGCCCCTGGCATCAGCAGGATGAGTGATGGCACGGCCAGGAGTGATGGCATGGTTTGAACACGGTGCCAGCCCATGTTTTCTGAGCTCTGCCAGGTCTATCAGCTGATGTCAGGTGAGTCACTGTGTGACTCTGGCCCTCAGCCTCCCCGTTTGTAAAGGGCAAGGATTTTGTAAAGGAGCTGATCTGTCCACAAAGGCACCTCACAGCCTGTTTGAGAAACCAGCACTTCTTTTTCTCTCCATCATTGTTTCAAAAGGGGTTTTCACCTTACTCAGGTGTTTCAGCTTCTCAGCAAAGCAAGCAAGGAGGAAATTACCCCCCAATTTCCTTGATGCTGCATGATAGAATTGCACAGTGGTTATATGAGGACTATTTGAGCTACTGTATAATGCAGACAGATTATAGGTAATCAAAGGAAAAGCAGAGCAGGCTATTTTTTGTTAAATGGGTGTGTCTGGGTCCTTGTTAAAGTTGCTCAGGGCTTGCAATAAAGTGCAATGTTCAGATATAATGGTTATAAAGCAATGTTAATATGTGCTGGGGGGAGTTTCATGCAAGTGAGCTCCATAGCTCATAAAAATGACACTGGGGTGTATTTTACCATCCCAGCAAAAAAGGCTTGTAAAACAGCTGTGCTGGAAAGTAAATAAAATAGAAATGACTCATAGAGAGGAACAGTTTCCCCACTGTAGAGACTTTGGGTACTGTATCACTTTTTATATTATGCTGTATTAAGACAATTGCTTTGATCTCAGCAATAAAGGAAGTTGGCTCAGCTCCTTCAGTCTTGCTTAACCAAACTGAGCTCTTCTGCAATAACTTTAGTGGCAGTGCTCAGAAATAACTAAAGTTATCTTCTGCAATAACTTTAGTGGGAGTGCTCAGAAAGAATCCCCCCAAAAATCAAGTGCTGGCTGGGCCCTCTCCAGCCTTGTGTTCCCTCCATGGCCAACCACACCCAGGACTGCTTCTGGGCCTTTGTCCTCTCTCACCACCAGACTCTACTGGCCCCAAGAGCGAGGTGAGGAGATCTCTGGTCTTACCTGCTTTGAAGATCCACTCCAGGTACCCGTTGAGCTCCCGCTCGATCTGCTGCTGCCGGCGGAGCTTCAGGAAAGCTCGGCGGTTCTCCACCCGCTCCCGCTCTTTGGCAAATTCACTGTGGAGAGGCAAGAGAGAGGAGACCACCTGTCACCAGCAGCCATGGAAAACACACAGCCCTCCTTCAGCCTCTCAGGTTGTGTTCATGAAGCTTGTGAAGTCAACAGCAGTGAGTGGAAACCACAGCAAGCGACACCCGACAAAGTACGACTTGACTGGAGCTCAGTCGAGTTTGTTTCTCTGCCTCTCTCACCCTGAAAGAACCTGAAAGATTGTTTCTCTGCCTCTCACATCATGAAAGAACCCGCAAGCTGCCCTGTGCACACGTTTCTCGAGCCCTTTGGCCACACCACAGCCATTGCAAGGAGACCCTGGTGCACAGCCAGTCACGCAATACCAATTATTATCCTCAGCGCTAAAATCCATCTCTCTCCACGGCAGAATTTCCCCTGGAAGCACAAGATTAAGTCACAGAGATATCAGCACTCTTGTGAAGAGATCTGCTCTTCCATGACAGCCTTTCATTTTTTCCCAGGCTTAAGATGTCTGTGAGAAACAGGAGCTGCAAGTCAGGCTGAGTGCTCTGGGGTTGAGGTGAAACAGCTCAGATTCTCTATGTTGAGGGTAAAAATGATCCTGCTATTTGCTAAAATCACATGGAAAGCAAGTATCTGGTATCAAATTATTAGAACAGGGCTGTACAGGGAATTCAGAACGGAAAGTTCATCCAACCATTGCAATAATCACATCCAAGTACATCCTGCTGCCCAGTTTAAAATGATGCTGAGACAAAAGCACAGCCCTCAGCCAAGACAACTCACTCTGGGGCTTTCCCCAAGCTGATTCCTGTCACCTCTGAGAAGTTTCTGATGCCTCAAGTGAAGATGTATGTGCCCATCTGCCATTCATAGAGCTCTGAGCCAGCCTCTGCAGCCCCTCCCTTTGGGCACACACTGGAGTGACTCTCAAAGAGGCTTCATCTCTGTGGTTAGGATGGGATCAGGATTCTGTCCCTCAGGTGCTCCAGAACCTCACTCATTCAACATCTTGGTGTCATCAGTTAACTGGTAATTGTTGCAAACCTGTAGTTAACCACTGATTTTGACTAAAATCTCATGTAATCAACACACAAATGTTCTCAGAAGCCAGCAAGGAGCAGGAGACGGGAGGAAGGAATGGAGGGAAAAGGAGCTCCAAGTGCCAGACACAGCTTTACATTCCCAGTCTACACTTTGTCCTCCAGAGGTGACACTTTTGCTTCGTTTGGCAGCACTGTCTGACCCGGGAGAAGGGACCGTGAGGAGAACTTGGCTCAGCACCGACCACACGGCACAGCCACCGATGGGAGAGCTGCCATCAGCTGAGCCCTTATCTCCATGCTGGCAGCACATCCCAGTCTCCTGACTCCCCTTTCCTGTCCCCCACCTGACAGGACAGCCCATGACCCCATCCTTGGAACAGAGGAAGTGAAAACACGGCTCTGAACCGGCAGCTCCTCCTTGGCATTCAGCACATCCCTGCGAGGCCGTTTGGGACCCTGCACGTGTCAGCCTGGGCACTCTGCTCCACCTCCCTTTCTGATGTTCTCATTTCTGGTTCAGTGCCTGCTGGTTGGGGCCATGGACCTTCTCTGAGTGTTGATTTCCCCCTGGAGCAGCAGGAAGGAGATCAGACAGAACGAGGTGACAACATGCATTTGAATTTCCAGGCGTGGAGGGGCCACGTTTAATGTGTTACAGGCTCATGTCACCACAAACTTCCCAGAGGAGGAGGCAACGCTGGGTAGGAAGTTTCCTAGAGGACCCCCGTGGGCAAGAAGGACAGCAGATGAGCCATGGCACTGCTCCCTCACCCCTCAGGAGCAGGGAAAGAAGAGCTTTCCTTGCAAAGCTTTTCATCCTCTGCCAGTTCCGATGCTGCCTAAGGAAAGTTAAACTCCCCAGGACTTGTCCCTTTAATCACAACTTTATATTTCAGAATCAGAGAATATCCAGAGTTGGAAGGGATCCACAAGGATCATTGAGTCCAACCCTCAAGTGAGTGGCCTGTACCTTAAATGTGTGGGAAGGTGAGGGAGGAACTGGGAGAAGCTGAAACCCTTCAGCAGTTTCTGTACAGACACACACGTCTCACAAGCCACCAGTGGGGAACTGCACCCTCCTGCCCCCTGGAACTGGCAGGTTTGGCATTCACAGAATTATTTTGGTTGGAAGGGACCTTAAGGATCATCTTGTTCCACCCCCTGCCATGGGCAGGGAAACTTTCCACTAGCCCAGGTTGCTCCAAGCCCAGTCCAACCTGGCCTTGGACACTTCCAGGGATGGGGCAGCCACAGCTTCTCTGGGCAACCTGTGCCAGGGCCTCCCCACCCTCACAGGGAAGAATTCCTTCCCAATATCCCATCTAACCTGCCCTCTGTCAGTGGAAAGCCATTCCCTCTTGTCCTGTCACTCCAGCACTTGGAAATAGTCTCTCTCCATCTTTCTTTTAGGCTCCCTTCAGGCACTAAAATGCCACAATTGGGTCATCCCAAAGCTTCTCTTCTCCAGGCTGAACAATCCCAACTCTCCCAGCCTTTCCTCCCAGCAGAGCTGCTCCATCCCTCTGATCATCTTGGGGCCTCCTCTGGACTCTCTCCAGCAGCTCCATGTCCTTGCTGTGCTGTTCCCCAGGGCTGGAGCAGCTCTGCAGGGGGGTCTAACCTGAGGGGCAGAGGGGCAGAATCCCCCCCTCCCCTGCTGCCCACGCTGGGGGATCAGCCCAGGGCATGGGGGTTTCTGGGCTGGGCCATGTCCAGCCTCTCCCCCACCAGGACCCCCAGGACCTTCTCCCAGGGCTGCTCCATCTGCTCATCCCCAGCCTGGATTGATCCAGGGGTTGCCCCAACCTGGTGCAGCACCTTGGGCTTGGCCTTGTTAAACCTCATGAGAATCCCATGGGCTTGAGCTTGTCCAGGTCTTTGTCCAGGCATTGGAGCTTCTCCAGGCACTACTGTGGAAGCTGGGAAGGTAATTTCCAGGAGAAGAAAATACCCTGAGTCTCTGCTCACTGAATTCCTTCTGAGGGTACAGAGCTGTAGCAAAATCATCCAGGTTGAAGAGTGGAGGGTCTTGATGGAGGGTCTTCCTGGCAAAAGGATGCATCACTTCTTCCTTCTCCTGTCTCCAGGAGATGGGAGAGAAGTTTGATGAAGCTGGAACTTGTTAAAAAGCTGTTTTCTGTATGAAATGTATTAATAAAAATGTGTGTCTCTTCCCCTACATTCATCACCATTCATGAGCTGAAATAGTCCCTCTTTGCTCCCAGATTTTCCATTTGAGAACTCTTCAACAAAATTCCAGAACACATTCAAAGGAAGGGGAGAGGAGGGGGAGGGGAATTACATCAAAATGCCATATTTAATCTGAAAATATTTCAACTGAAGTTTTCCTGCCAGCTGAAAATGAAAACACAGAAAGTCCCCTGGGAATGTTTGGGAGCAGTAAATAAGTTCCCTCTTCTATTCAGCATAATTCCTATTTATGTCACTGACTTGTAAAAATCTCCCAAATCACCAGAAAGGAAACCTGAGCAGAAATATGCAGGAATTTCTTCATAGCTGGTCTTCCATCCTCTGGCCAGCTCTGGAATGTGTTTATCATGAGGGTGGTGAGACCCTGGCACAGGTTGCCCAGAGAAGCTGTGGCTGCCCCATCCCTGGGAGTGTCCAAGGCCAGGTTGGAACAACCTGGGCTAGTGGAAGTTGTCCCTGCCCATGGCAGGGGGTGGGATGAGATGAGCTTTAAGGTCCCTTCCCACCCAAACCATTCCATGATTTTATGGTTCACCCACTCTCATCCCTGGCTCTCATCACCCAAAGAGCTCCAAAAGCCCTCAAACTGTTCATCTTCCAGCGTGTCCAGCTGGGCACGAAGAGCTGAAAGGTCAGTGCTCCTGCCCAGCACAGCAGCACGAGGTGCTGGGGGGTGACTGCTGCCTTCCAGCTCTCCTGTGACAGTATCTGTCATGGAACAAGTAGGATCCAAAGGAAGGACATCCATCCTGGAAACCACACGGCAGCCAGCAGAGCTCAGTGTGTCACATTTGTCTTCTCGAGAGGGGTCGGTGCTTAATGTCACCGGGAAATGGATGGTTGTTGCTTATCACCGTGGTGGGTGGAGGAGGAAAATAAATCTCAGTGTAAAAATGCACTGAAAGAGCCACTTCAGGGCGATTCAAGAGCCCCCCAAGCCACAGAAGAGGCACAATCAGCTCACGAGTAACCAGCAGGGTCAGTGAACATTATGAACTAATGAAATTCTTACAAGTCCTTTATCCACGCTGGTCTTAAACCAAAAATATTGTCACAGCAACCAAAGAGGGGTTAAAAAAATAAACAAACGCCAATCTTCATCCCCCGAGTCTCTGATTAACCTCCCTATGTGACAGCAGAGAGCTGGGATGGAGCATCTCCTGGTCTTGGCTTTGGTGGCACAGGCCCAGGGCCAGCGTCAGCAGCTTCCTGCGAGTCTAATCACATCATTAAACCTCTGCCAGTCGGGTTTTCCGCTTCGAAAGCAGACAAACTGCTTCCCGCTGCCGGGGAAGAGGCCGGGAGAGGTGATACAGCATCGCTGTCACCGCTCCCACTAATCGTGCTGCTGATTAGCGACTCGGAATAACAACACAGGTAATTAGCTCCTCGTTCCGAATAATCACACGTTCTTTCGAGCTCATGAAATCTCAGGTCTTAAAAGGGGAGAAGAGCCTTCAGCCGCTGAATCTGAAGCGTTCAGAGTGAAGAGAAAGCTGCGCGGATCTTGGAAGGACTCTGCCAGTGACTCCTGGAAAGCAGCTGTCGAGAAGTTTTAGAATTTTAAGTCTTAAAAATAAATTGAGGGAGGAAAAAAATCGGTTTTAGATCTCAGGTCTTCGCCAGCAGCTCCTGGAAAGCAGCTGTGGAGAACTTTTCGAATTTCAAGACTTCAAAATATAAATAAAGCAACCGGTTTTAGGGTTGGCTTCATCTCCAGTCCAAGCACATCAAAGGAAGGCACGAAGCTGAGCCCGGGTGACATG